GGGGCGCCCTCAGCAGTGTGTGAGCTGGGTGCTTTGTCAGGAGCACGTGGCCTGCCCTTCCGCCCAGCCAGGCGCGGGGCGGCAATGCCATCGTCACCCCTGTCCCTGGCCGCAGATCTGTGTGCCCGTGGAAACCCAGTCCCCTCTGCGGCCAGCCCATGACCTGCGCCTGGCTGTGGCTGATTTGGGTAGATGCTCGGGGCCCTCAGCAGTGTGTGAGCTGGGTGCTTTGTCAGGAGCACGTGGCCTGCCCTTCCGCCCAGCCAGGCGCGGGGCGGCAATGCCATCGTCACCCCTGTCCCTGGCCGCAGATCTGTGTGCCCGTGGAAACTTCCAGTCCCCTGGTGACGAGCAACCAGAAGGAGGTGCTGCGCTGCTTCACAGTGCTGGGTGAGTGGCTGCCTGGTCTGGGGCTGGGCCTGGGCCTGGTGGCAGCCTCAGCATAGTCCACCTCTGCCTGGGCCCCGGTGGGGCTGCAAGGGCCTCAGTCCCAAGTGTGCCCCCTGCTGGCAGGTTTGGAGGTGTAGGCAGCAAGGAGCAGGGGCAAATCCTTACTGTCTGTGCGTCCCCTGCAGCATGCTGCTCGCCCGAACGCCTGCTGGCCTTCCTGCTGCCCAAGCTGGACACCAGCAATGAGAGGACCCGCGTGGGCACCCTGCAGGTTCTGAGGCACATCATCAACTCAGCCGGTGAGTCACAGGGCAGGGCCGAGAGACTGGTGAGGGGCGTCTCGCTTTGAATTCTTTAGAAATGTTCCCAACTTTCGATTTTGCAAAGTTGCAAACATTTTGAAAAGTTTGCCTCTGATACCGGCTGCAGATGCCGGATGCTGCATCCTGACCCCGGGCCTGAATGGATGGCCTCTAGTCACGCGAGGAGACAGACCACGTCTGCAGCAGCTGCCTGGAGGACCATGGCTGGTTCCTCCAGCTCCTTGGAGCTGGAGCCTATTTCGCACCGAGTTGTGTTCTCAGTGCTGCTTGAACTGCCCTGCTACCACCTGCATGCAGAGGCCACGTGAGGCCTGCAGTCCGTGGGCTGGTGCTGGGTCCAGCCCCAGCAGGCCTAGGGGTCCCCAAAGGTGTGGACGGAGTCGGCGAAGAAGGAATGACACGGAGACAGTGTTCAGTTGATCAGCAGCCTAGCCAGGATCTCTAGCCAGGTTCTGGTCAGGATCTCCAGCCAGGTTCTGTAGCTATATCCCCTCGCTAGTTTCTCCAGCCAGGTTCTATAGCCATGTTCTAGTCAGGTTCTCTTGCCATGTTCTATCCAGGTTCTGTAGCCAGGTTCTGTCTCTAGGTTCTTCAGCCAGGTTCTCTCACTAGGTTCTGTGTCTAGGTTCTGTGTAGGTTGTCTTCTAAGTTCTGTCTCTTGTTGTCTTGTTGCATCTGTATTTATACCAGTTGATTCTAATCCTATCAATCTCTATTCCAAAGGTTAGGGCGTTTCTTATCTCCATTCCAGGGAGTAAAGATTATGTACTTAAGCGTGATTGTTCGTAGTTAAAGTGATTAATTACCCGCCTGGCAGTTAAGAGGTTTTATTCCCTCCCTAACTTCAGGGGAAAATCCCTACCTGGGGAAACAACCTTTCTCAGAGAGGTGACTTTGGTTAAAACACATAGTGCCAAGAAGGTGACCAAACATATTAAGAACAGTATGCCATATATGCCAGGTCCCTTGAAACAGCAAGGATGGACTGGCTCCCGGCAGGCTGGGAGGGCTTTTTAACGTGAACAGGCTGCAGAGGCGAGTAGAGGTGATAGAGACTTCACGTGGCCCTGTGTCGGCAGGGTCTTCTCTTTGGCCTGCTAAGGAGCAAGGGGGCTGACCCCGTCCCGTGAGGGTCAGGGTCGGGCCGGGGTGCTAACAGCACCATGGATATGAGGCAGCTTGGAGAGGGGCAGGGACAGGGGACAGTGGCAGCCCAAACAGACCTATCCTGCAGCACACTGGCTCCTGAATAAGGAACTCCCACTGCATTGTTTCAGAATTCTTGTTTGGGACTTTCAATGGTTTGTATCATCTTTGCCCATCTTCTATATTTTTAAAACATTGGTAGGGATAGGTTATTAAAAGATGAAATGAAGCTAACAGATCCCCATTAGCAACTGTATTTATTTTTTAATATATTTCTATTGATTTCAGAGAGAATGGGAGAGGGACTGAAACATCAATGATGAGAGAGAATCGTTGGGCTTTTATAGTTGGTCAGTTTTGTTGGTTATAAAATTTTTGGCTCACACTTCCTTGACTGTCCTGTTGCCCTAAACTGCCAACCTTTCTAGCTTTTTAATGGGAAAAAATGTTATTTGTCTCCTGGAGAGAAGTGGTGGGCTTTGCGTGTACCCTCCCCTCGCCTCCGCGTGCAGGGCCGTGCTGAGGCTGGACCCTGGCCACAGGGCCTTGGGACTCTTGGTGGTGAACAGGCCAGCTGGCCTTGGTCTCAGTGGGGAGGCTGAGCCACCTGTTCGTTTCTTGCAGCTGCTCAAATGGAAGTTAAGAAGCCCTTCATCCTCTCCTCCATGAGGCTTCCCCTTCTGGACCCCAACAGCAAGGTGAGGGGCGTGGCCAGCTAAGCACAGCCCGGGTGCGGCCCTCCGCCGGCCCTTAGCATCAGTGTGCGCAGGTGTCATGTGTCTGGGCGTCCCACGCCTTGCTTCTGACACGGTTCCCAGGCATGAAGTTAGGCACTGGTCCCAACACCACCCTCAAGTTGGAGAATTCTCTAGAAGGACCCCAGAACCCACGAGAGCTGCCATCCTCAGTCATGGCTCATTACAGTGAAAAGACAGAGCAGCCTCAGCTGTGAAGGAAGCACATGGGGCAGGCCCACAGGGTGGGATGTGAGCCCCGTGGAATCGTGGGCAGGGATGCGACTGCACAGAGGCTGCCACTCTGGGGGCCCCTGGCCTGCATCCAGGGTCTTTATTGGACTCCCATCATGTAGACCTCAGTTGCCAGCCCCTTGAAGGCCGAGCTGGAGCGATGTGGCCCTGGAGGAAGTGACCTGGCTGTGCCCTCAGGTGGAGCCACTGAGGGGCTGGAAGGCAGGTTCAGGACTCCCAGGGGAGTTTTGGGGACTGAGGGACCTCCCTCTGAAGGGTGAGACAGAGCAGGGGAGGAGGTAGGAGGAGCCCAGCCCTGAATGTGGGACACCTTTGAGGAGCTGTGAGAAAGGCACAGGTGCAGGCAGAGAAAGGGGTGAGATCCCTGTGTCCAGACTGGACTGTCCAGGTCTGTCCCTCTGTGCAGGTGAAGCGGGCAGTGGTGCAGGTAATCAGCGCCATGGCCCACCATGGCTACTTGGAGCAGCCTGGGGGCGAGGCGATGCTGGAGTACATCGTGCAGCAGTGTGCACTGCCCCCCGAAGCCCAGGTAAGGGGCCCCACCACCTGCTGGGTTGGGACCTGTCGGTTCTGCTGGAGAGTGGGCACCAGAAGGTGCGTGGCCCACATCGATGAGAGAGAAACGTCGATCAGCTGCCTCCTGCACAGCCCTTACCGGGGATGTGCCCGCAACCAAGGTACATGCTCTTGACCGGAATTGAACCTGGGACCCTTCAGTCCGCAGGCCGACGCTCTATCCACTGAGCCACACCGGTTTCGGCCCAGCAGCTTTCTTAGAGTCAGTTGGGGCCTCTGCTCCCCAGTGGTCATTCCTCAGACAGGAGAGACGGAACAGGCACGGGGCTCTTTTTAAGGCTTTTCTATTTAAAATGTTACTAAGCAAACCCCACTTTTCTTCTGGAGGGAGAGTAAGCTAGACCCTGGTGAAAGCAACAGGCACTACGGGGTGGTCGCGCCATCCCTGCCGCCAGCCTTGGGGAGCACGGGGCCTGGTGGCCCTCCCGCTCTGGGCCTGGTCTCAGGCGCTCACGTGCCCCATGTATCTTCTTCGATTGTCTGGTCACAGCCGCTGCCCGTGTTTGAGTTGGATTGTGTGTTTCCTTGTTCTTGAGTAGTGAGTGTTCTCTACGTATTCTGGGTACAAGTTCTCCGTCAGATTTGGGGTTTGTAAACATGTTCTGACAACTCTGTTGCATGGTGTCTTTATAGTCTTAACAGTGGTGCTGAAACAATTGGACAAATATGCAAAATAATGAACCTCAGCCAAAACAAAAATTAATATTCAAACAAAAATTAATATTCAAAATGGATCCTGGACCTAAATCTAAAACCTAAAACTTAAAACTTCTGGAAGACGACATAGGAGAAAGCCCTGGGGTTAAGCGAGGATTTACTAACTAGCATGCTCTGTAAATGACCAAAACAAAGCGATTAACTGGGCTTCTGAAATATTAAAACTCTGCCTTTTGAAAGACACTAGTATGTTCTTCAGGGTAAGTATGTTCTTGTCTGTGTCCTCATGTTTCTGCTCCTGATGGACTTTGATGTGGTCTCGGTGTCCATTGTCAGGTAGTTTGCAATTCCTGTTTGGGTTCTTTATCAACCCAAAGTTTCTCTTAGGATATTTAACATTTTCTAGAGGAACGGCTTTTCAGACTATTGTGGATTTGTAATTTTATTGTGTCATCTGCATTGAGTCTGGCGAGGTAGAGTTCTGCTTTTGAGTCTGTTCAGATACTTGTTTTGGCCTAATGGGTGGTCAGGCCTTCCAAGCTGTTTTGTGTATTTGGTGTATTTTTAGAGTGAGTTTTAAGAATTCCATTCCAGGCCTGCATGTCCCTGGTGTGGCTGCTTGGCTTTGACGTCCCCGTGAGAGGTGTCACCAGTCCCCGCGGTCAGCGCCGCTGCTGAGTGTGCTGCCGGGCGCTGGCGCTTCAGAGCGGGAGTGGCCAGGCAGGCAGGGCCCTGGGAAGCTGGTCCCTCTTGGACGCACGCTTCTCGGAGGCCCCACACTGTCTGGAGGTTGTGGTCTGTTCCTGGTGTACGTGGGCGTGTTCGCAGGTGGTGAGTCTCCAGGTTGGCCCCCCATTTCTGCCATGTCAGCAGGGCCAGAGTCGGGGTGAGGTTACCCCTCAGGCAGTCAGTGGCCCACAGGACATGCACAGGGTTTCCTTTACGTTGGAGACTAGACCTAAGCCAGTGAGCCTGCCCTCTTGGGCGAGTTTGGTGCAGGCTGCATTTCCCGTCCACGGGGACGCGGGTCTCCCCGGGGTGGTGGCTGGGCAGGGTCTGATCTCATGGCCCAGAGCCCATGGCCCGCACCCGCCCCCAGCATCAGAAGCCCAGCGGGGAGGAGGAGCCCCAGGCGGACAGCGTGCGGGACATCAGCGTCAGCACCCTCTACCTGGTCAGCACCACCGTGGACAGGATGAGCGATGTGAGTGTGCGCCCCTCCCCGCCCTGTGACTGACCACGCCCTTCCGGCCCCTGGGTCCAGGGCCTACTGACTGGCCAAGCCTCCTGAGCTCCGCGGGGCCTGCGGCGGTGGGGTGGTGAGGAGCTGCCCCAAGGCTGTGGCCCCCGCGGCCGCTCTACTGACCATGGCACTGCCCCTAGGTCCTCTGGCCGCACCTGCTCCAGTTCCTCACCCCCGTGCGCTTCACGGGGGCGCTGACCCCGCTCTGCCGGAGCCTCGTGCACTTGGCCCAGAAGAGGCAGGAGGCAGCGGCTGAGGCCCCGCTCATCCAGTATGAAGGCAACGGTGCGTAGCCAGTGTGCGCTTTCCCTAGACCCCGCCCTTCCAGGCCCTGCCCCTCGCTAGCCCCGCCCCCACCCGCCTCTCCCTGGAAGCACCTCTGAGCGTCCTGTCTCCCTTGCAGTGACCCTGCCATCTCCATACGCCATAGCCACACGGCTTCTGGTGAGCGATGCGGCTCCCTCCGAGGGATCGGGAGAGGAGTGGGCGCTCCCCTCTGTCCCTGGGTCCCCGGTGCTCGCGGCGCCGTCATGGCCGAGCAGAGAACACTGCCTCGCAATGGGGGCCAGACAGGCATCCCACTTGGGTATGGGGAGCTGTGTCTTGGGGGGCTTGTTGCCTCCACCCCAGTACCTCGTGGGTGGCCTTGTGGTCCGGCATAGCCACGAGCTCCCCCTGCACCTCTGCAGACCGTGTCTTCCAGCCCCTACCTGGGGGGTGGCCGTGGGGCGGCCTCGCTGTGCCTCCTGAACGTCCTGCATCGGGACATCCACCCTTCGCTGGGTCAGCGGTGGGCAACGACCATCGCCCTGCTGCTGGAGCACCTGGACGGTGAGGCCCCGGAGGTGGGGGCCCTGCACCCCGCTATACCTGTCAGGGCAGCTCTGGCCTGTGAGGACCAGGGTTCCCTAATTGAGAAGTAGCCTCCACTGGGGTTCAGAGAGAGTCTAGAGTAGACCCAAGGGTGCTTCTGCTGGTGTCACTGTCATTCGGGAGCATCTGGATGTGGGCCCCTCTGGGTTTCCTTTGTGCTCTGGAAGGTGGGGTGGGGCCTGAGTCAGGTGTGGGTGC